ATTTTCTGGCCGTCAGCTTTCCTAAGATTGTGAACATGACTTTTCAACTTCACAACTGGATTGTATAAAAAATCAAAGGTATTAATATCTAGGGTACTAGGTATTTTTGTATGGTTTTGTGTATTCATCCTTACCTTGTTTTTATACTTTGTGGCATTGCCATCCCTACATCATACTTAAATTCTGTAAACAAATTATTTAATTAATTGTTTCCCCTCTTTTTTTTTTTTAAACGATTTCACTGAAGCAGGTTGGTAAGTGAAGATTTGTTTTATTTTTATAATTCAATGGTAATATATATTGTTAATACCATATCAGTTTCTCTAATTTTATATTACATTGTGGGCCAGTGAAGTTGGAATATTCTTCCAGCACAAGTACCCCAGAGCATGGCATGGTTTGACGTTAAAGGACATTTAAAAAAACAATGTATAATGGCACAAATTGGGTTTCAATACCCATGATAGGCGGAACACAGATGGCCCATTGTGTAGTGTTGTACTTAACAAAAAACAAACTTAATGGAAATATTTAAATTACCTGAACAGTTGGAATAATCAAACACAGTACTAAACTGAAACTTAACTTTGATTAGTTGATTATTTTCATGAGTTATGACACTAATCCATAATGGCAATATTTCATTTGCTAGATAATTGGAATAACTAAAAACAATAATAACCTAGCTATTTACCTTGAGTAGTTGATTATTTTTGTGATGTTACTTGATCTAATCATAATTTTGTGTACTGAATAGTTGGAAAGATCAAAAACAGTAATATTTAGAAACATTAGCTGATTACTTTCATGACATTATTCGATTTCATGATAACTTCAATTAATTATTTTATGTGACACTACTCAATGCTCATTGGTAATCAGTTATGCTAATTGCAAGGCTCTAATACTGAGTTTTGCCAGACCTGTCTTAAAACATTTTTTTTTTTCTGACAGAAAAATATACTAAAGGAAAACTTAGATGTCTATAATGATTGCTGGTTATGTCGCTACAGATCATATATGACACATCACTTTTTATCTCTCATATGTAAATAATGTTGTGTCCTGAAGCAAAGCAGAAAATATAAAGTCATGTATTTTTGACAGACATTGCTTGCAGGAAAATTTACCGTGTTGATATCTGTACTAGTCAGAGATGATGAAAAACTTTTAATGCAAATACTTATAAGTATAATAATTCTTTCAGGTGAATTGACGGTTTTTTTATGTATCTTAGTAGAAATAATTTGTTTCACGGTAATGGTAACTATTAGAACTGGTGTATTTCATTTCAAAACAAAAGTTTTCTAAAGCTTAAATAAACATGTTATTTTATGCTAAACCACACCAGTACTTCATAAATACACAAGTCTGATACAGCCACATTTTGTTGAAAATCTTTGGGTCTGTTTAGAAATACAGTGAATATATCAATGAATCAACTAGGAATAAAATAGTGAGTGCTAAAACATAATCCCTCGTCTGCTTTAATACTATACTTTCTCATTACATTTTAAAACTACAAAGAAAACTGTCTAACATTTAGGTCTAAATTAAAGTCTAACTAACTGCTTGAATTTAACATAAGAATTTCACAGATTTTCATTAATTGCTTAAACAATTGTAATTCAATCATGATAATCAACTAACATTGTAACATTTTAACATGTTACATTCAAAGAACACTTAGCAGACAAAGAAAAGTTATATATTATTATTTTACTTAACATTTAACTGTGAATTAGGGCCAGCCATTTTTGGGACTGTCAAAAAATGGATGGAATTAGTCACCAGAAAAAGAATCCTCATATGTTTTATAATTTTTATGTAAAGCTACACATTTGCAGCAATAGGTCATGAGCCACGAGCCCTCAGATTCAAAGTGCAAGTGAGCTAACCACAACATCTAGACCAGCCCGAGAATTTCCCAATTTTGACTCAGTGAAAAAAATAAACAAAAAGCATTGGAAAAATTTATTTCTTAGAGAGAAACAATCAACTCAACAACTATCTAGCATGTTAATCTTGTTTATCTTTAACAAGTTTGATGAACAAAACTTTCTGTTACCATCTAAATTTATCATTTTACCTACAACAAAATATGCAGTTAATAATGTAGTTCCACTTAAATATATATATGGTAAATATTATGAATATAATAACAGAATGCCTAACAAACTACGTATATGATGTGATTCAAATTGTCAGCACCTCGTTTTCAGTCCTGTGTACACTATCATTTAACACCATTAAACAGTGCATTATGAGTGACATTAAAAAACAATGACAAACTGGTTGACCACACTATCATTCTTAACTGGTATTTTTTGAATGTTATTCTTGGTTTTACAGTTTTGAAAGATAGTCTGGACAGACCTTAAAACAGTGCACACCACATCCCTGACAAATAGTACATTCTGTAGTTGTTATACTTAGCTATGGTGTAACACGTTAGGATGGTGCTACATGCACATTTATTGTAGCTTTCATGTGTTATATAACCACTTGCTACATACTGCATTGATATTAAAAAGAAACCTTAGGAATTAAATGATATGCTCAGTAGTCTTGCTCTGGAAGTTTAATCCTGACAAACTAAATTGACCAAAATCTTAAAAATTATTAGAATTAACTATACCAATAACAAATTATTCAATTTTTACATCACTAGTTCTAACAGTCATTATTGTCTAGCATTAATTAAATATTGTTAGCTTTTGTTACTGGATTTTGCAGTTTTTGATTTCAAAAATTTACCTGTAATTCGTGTTCAAACATAATAATTTCATACACTGGATAATGCATTTATACAGAGCTATAAATAAATGTTTTTGTTTCTTTGAGATGAGAGATAACACAGAATTTGGCATCCAGTGAAATGTAAGTATATAAACAGTTTAGTTAAAACCAGTGAAACTATTTCAGGTAGCTTCAAACATATTCATTCGTTAAGTGCCACCATAAAATACCTCTTTTAATGTGACAGTCTAATGGTTAAACATCATTTTCTGTATGTTCAATATATGTATAAAAAAGGTTCTGGATGAGCTAAGTGAAAGCACTTATAAAAGCATGTTCAGAACATAAGTTTTGGGTTACTAATACTACTAGCAAAAAAATTATAAACAGTCCCATATTTTTATGTTTAATCTTTTACTCATTTCTATGTGGATTTTATGTAATTAGATTTTCAAACAGTTTTTAATATGGTGTCATAGAGAATATTAGCTGATAAAATCACACTGACAGGGACTTTGAAAAGACTAGTTAATCTAACAGAAGAATGGCTTGGTAAGAAAAAAACAAAGTGATTACTAATGGAGTCCAGTGCTTGAGCATTTGCTTTTTCCTTCCTTACATTAATGATATAGATATAGGGACATAATTAGTAAAGTTTGCTGTATTTCTTTATGTATTGAGGAAATTGAGGTGCTACAGAATGAATCAGATTAATTGGTAAATTGGATAAACTCGTAGCAACTGACTTTTAATTATAGTACACAAGCCGAAATACTCATCAACTGACGGGGAATGTTTAAACTTAATTAAAACAATGCAAGTTACATCAGTCATATATTTCAAAGAAACAACTTGAACATAAACTCTATCCCAAAATTTTAAAATTAAAACAAAGCATCTTCTTAAACAACATTTGCAGTTTGCTTTCCATCTACCAACAAATAAAGATTTTGAGATGACCTCACCCTTGAACACCCTTACATCTCATTGATTGAGAAAAGCATGGTTGTTTAAGAAACAGTCCAGCAACTTTCATACTTTGACATTGAATCCCTTTAGAATATTCAACATTGTCTAAGCATTGACCTGTCAAGCTTGTTTGAGATTGACTCAATAGGCTTGGAGTAATTAACCAATAGGCTTTACAAAATAGAAATAGGGTTAAGTTCAATTTTGACCCCATTACAACATTCCCCATAGTTCATAGTATTTAAATACAAATTTTGGTTGAAATTGGTCCAATAGGCTCGAAGGAGTTAGGGTGCAAACAAACACATTTCATCTTTATATATATAGATGGAATAGTACATGGAAGGTAAGAAATTTAAGTAATAATTTGGAGCAAATGTTCACTATAAATGGGAACCCACTCAAATAGTGTGACTAAAGAAAAGAATTTGGGAAAGTAGTAGATACTGTAAATAACTCAATCGAAAGAAACACTGCTCTGTTGCTAGTACTAGTACTGAAGATAATAAAAATTTAGGCTGCATTTAAATACATTATCAAATGCAATGAAATATTAATTCATAGATATCACAAGTTAGGCTTCACTTAGAATATTGTTTAATGTTTTGGTTTCCTTAAGGTATGGACTTATTGGAAAGTGTTCCAAAAAGGGCTACTAAGATGATTTCAAGGATGGAAGGGTTATCTTACAGGGATAGGTTAAGATAACTTATTTTCTCTTAATAGAAGAAAGCTAAGAGGTGATCTTATTGAAGTTTACAAGTTAATTAACTTAAATTAGTTTTTATTTTTATAAAATAACTGAATTATGGAATGAGTTGCCTTTGGCAGTAATGGTGTGTGGATTTTTTATAGAAAAGCCTCATTGGACAATCTGCTGTACTTTACAGAAGATTAAGAAAAGAATCAATGACTTCAAAACATATAGTGGGTTTAGTTGTTTTTTTTTATCAGGGGTGGGTGTGTTATATTATCTAAGTTGATTTGAAGAATGAAGGCCAAAGCACACAAAAAAAATTAACATAAATATTTTAATGACAAGAAGTATTCTAAACTTGTGAAGAATAAAAATACATCATTTTGCTTTCTCCTCAATGTAACACTAACAGTGTAGGGCAAAAGCAAACCTCTGAAACTGGATACACTGTGAGAGTATTTTTTTTCTAAGATTTATTCTAAGAATTTAACTACAAAAACCAGGTTTCATTCTCTCTCTCTGGCTATTATAATCTATACTATAGTAATGGCAGCGTTATTTGAACTAGGGGTTTGGGAGGATCAAATATACTTACTAGCAGTCATTTAATTATATTTCCACATTTCTGTATTCAGGCTGAGGCCTATGTCGTAACCGTGGTTGACCGAATATAATAAATTAATATAATTATTATTATCAATACAACTTTAATTTTATGTTCATGACATGAACACTAGTAACTGACACTGTGACAGTAATATCTTACAAGCAGTAGCAACCATTAGACGTTATAATACCATTATTAGCAGTAATACTATCGTACAACTACTGAACTAGTACTAACGTTAGTAACACTACAGTACTAGTACTACAAATGTTACTATACAATCGAGTTGGACTCTTGAGTTTCCAAATCTTAAACTTTGTCCTTATCATTATGGTAAACTATTAAAGTAGAACACCTATTTGTATTATGTATATGTTTTACTTTTCTTCAGGTGGGACAGCCGAGATGGACCTACCAGCAATAGTTCTCTAAACATTACGCTGTTAAAATTTAGAACTTACTCCTCACCTATTCGTTCAAGTAACTATTATTACTCTATTCAGGTTAAAAAAATTTGGTTAAAGTTGACCAAGCCGTTCACAACACCCACTATGTAACGTATCAGTGCAAAAAATAAGTTTTTGAGTTTTGATACAACAGAGCCTAACACTAACAGGTTAAATGATTAAATATTATTAGTGTGACGAAAAAATTAGAAAAGAAAGCTAAACAATAAACTGTCAACAGATCGTCAAGCTTATAAAACAATACATTTTTTCTTTTCGTGTTAATATTGTTATTAATTTGCATGATATATTCTTATTTTCTGATTTTTCGCGTGTGTTTGTTTCTATTTCTTTAATCGTTCGAGGTGATTTTTTATAATAAAAAACAATCAAAGAACTGTTACGTCTCCGTTTGTTAATAAATTTTCCGTAACTTCGTTCCGACGAAACTTTAGCGACACAAGTCCTTACTTAATAAAACTGGTTTATTCTTTCCGAATATAACTTTACGATACACTTAATTTCAACATTTTGTTTTTTTATAAACCCTTCTTTGCAGTTCCTCCAAACATATCACTAACAAAGATCAGATATTTGTTCATGGAAAATTTTTATACTATTCTAATTTATTGTAAAAAAGAATAATTACTTACATGTAGATTTTAAAATATTGTTACATCTCCCTTTGTTAATTAACTTCCCGTAACGTCGTTCCGACGAAACTTTAGCGTCACAAGTACTTACTTAATAAAACTGGTTTATTCTTTCCGAATATAACTTTACAATACACTTAATTTCAACATTCGCACTAAAACAAATACTATAACGAACGAACGTTAACTTCAACAATACCCTGTGACTGCAATTACTCACTACCTACACAACGTCCCGCCACGCTGTCACCATCCTATATATACCAGATACCCCCCCC